CGATTTCACAAAAAAATCTGAATTGAGCATTAAGGCCTGCAGTGTGAACGTAGCCTTTGATACCCCTGCTCTAGACTTTCCAGGAAATGCCCTCTAATACCACTGCTCTATATGTGAAACTCTCTCTTTGGGCCCAAATGTTAGTTCTACATGTAAACAGAACATAATTTACCCACCAGATGACCATCTTTGTATGTACAATGTTATATACTGATATAACATATCCAGCAGACTGTTGCATGTGGCCATCAGCTCGTTAAATAGATTTATATCTCAATGTGTTAAACATAAAGTAAAGACATTTTGTCTTTTTGTACATTTCTAAAATTATGGTGGATACCTTTAGAAATAGCTAAAAGTTTAAAAGATAATGGAAGAAGAGGCCACAAAGCAAGATGTTGGAAATACAAAAAGGGGCTGAAAATAACCTTTTTTCTTCTGTGAACCTTCTTTCTTCAGACCAATGAAGAGTTTGTTCAGGCCATGAATAGCTACCAACCCCAAACTGAGGGAAAGCTTAAGAAGTCTCTATTTGTGAAGCCCAACTTTCTGGAAGTCCCTAATGCTGTGGACTGGAGGGAAAAAGGCTACGTCACTCATGTCAAAAACCAGGTAATCAGAGAGAGACTTTCTCTCAGCGAGAGTTGTTTCTGGCATGATTTCACATACCGCCAAAATGCATGGAGAGAGACATGACATGGAGGGAGGCATTCAAGCTTGTGACCTTATTACTGTCATAATGAAGACAGTACTCCGAAATGCAAATTTAACTGTTACAAAAGTCCCCCTCTTAATAAAAAACTGACATTTTTATCAATATTTGCAATATTTTCTCATGTGACTCCAGATTCATTTGGGAGCTACAAGTACAGACATACAGTCTCTATGCTGTGAATGGAATGCTACATAAATGCAGTGGTGTCAAAGGTTCATACATTTGTTACTTAAGTAGAAGTATGGATACTACAGTACAGTTTAAAAACACTCTGGTAAAAGCTGAAGTTTCAACTTGACCTCTTTACTCAAGTAAAAAAGAAAAAAATATGTGCTCCAAAAACTGCTTAAAATATAAAAGTATAAAGTAACCTTTAAAAAAACAGCCAGATGCCACTATATGAATTGAAAGCTCAGTTTTTCAACTATTTCTAAATATTCTTTGAGATAGGGCCAAAGGATGAGGGAGGTCTTGTTGGTCTTCATCTCCCGATACGCTCTCGCCTGTGTCAGAAATTTCAACATCTTTTTCTGAATCCTACATTGTAGCATGGCATAGACAATTCACGTTTACAGTTTAAAGAACATCTACTTGCTTCTGATGATTTCCTTTAGCTAGCCAATGAGTGTTTGCCTTACATGACTCATCCAATTACACTAGTTTTCACTAGATGTGGATGGCGCCAATGATCTGCAATGGATGGCGCACATTACGTGAAAAAAATATTTATAAATATTAAACCGAAGCCAAGAGTAACAAGTAACATTGTTTTAAAAATGTAAAGAATAGAAAATACAGATACTTGTCTGAAAATGTAATGAGCAGAAGTCAGAAGTAGGAAGAAAAATAAGTTATGGAGTAAAGTATAGATACCAAAAAAAGTGTACTTAAGTACAGTAACAAAGTATTTGTACCATGTTACTTGACACCTCTGCATAAATGAGACAGAAAGTTCATAGGACTGAACTAGTTATAAGGTCCAGCACACAGACGTATACAAAGAGTAGACAACTCCATATGAACGGAAACTCAGGAAGGCCACTCACTCAAGAAGAGTAATTTTTATGGGATGCTCAATGAAGTATAGTGCTCAAAAAGAATAATAAACTTTTCAAACTTTTTGTGCTGCAATCCTTCTAAATACACCAATCATAGCTACATGTATACAGACGCTCATTGCTTTTAAATATCCTTAATGGAATAAAACACTAATAATATTCTGACATGATTTATATGTTTTAGGCAAAGCACACAGCCTACTACACATGTATGCATGCAAGTACTATTCAAACAAACAACTATTTTTATAACAAACTAACAAAAGCTCATAAATGTTTTAAATGAGCTCAGCTCAAACACTCATTGAACAACACTCTTTTTTTAAAGATAGTGTTTATAGCAGGTTAAACACCTGCACCAAATATTATATATAACATAACAGTAGCTGGCAATTTGCCAGTGTACATAAATACAATGATATACTAATAAGAACATACAAACTATAGTATGTTTATTTTTCTCCGAAAAGATATCACATAAACCTTTATGTGAATAGCCCATTGATTTTAAGAAAAACATGCACAATGCTGTAGCATCTTCCACTGTTTTGATTTAGCCAAGTAGTTACAGGGACAGCTCCAAGATGGCAGCCATATTTCATGCATTGCAGAAGCCAAAGCAGGGTCTACTCTTTATTATGTCTATAGAAACAGATCTGCAGCTATCGGAGACATTTAAGAACAGGATGTTTTGACTTTACTTTAGATTAGAAAAGCAGCTGTAAATAGAGATTTGTTAGAGCAATTTGTCTGCTTCACCTTCATAAAAACTAATAACACTATAGATTTTACACATGGACTTTCTTTTTGTCACCATGATGTTATGTTGTTTCAGATAAAAGCAGACCTCATGTTATCAGAATGCATTAATCTCAGCAAACTGTCTCTGTATGTCACTATTGCCTTAAAAAGCTCCTTACCTCCCCTTCAGGGTCACTGTGGCTCCTGTTGGGCTTTTGGTGCCATCGGGTCTCTGGAGGGCCAACAGTTCAGGAAAACAGGTCGACTTGTGTCACTGAGTGAGCAGAACCTGATGGACTGCTCCAGACCCCAAGGCAACAGGGGCTGTGATGGTGGTTGGATGGACATGGCTTTCCAGTATGTTAAGTCCAATGGGGGTCTAGACTCGGAGGAATCCTACCCGTATGTTGGTAAAGTACGTGTCTTTTCAGCTGAAAAAACTAGAGGAATATCCTGCGAATGTTCACACAAATGCAGATGCAAATAGAATTGGAAATTATTCATTTGTATGTATTTCTATGTCAGTTTATGGTACTTTTTTAACAGTACAATCTGGATTTTCTTTGTTTTTCAATGGTTTTAAGGACCAGATCTGCCAGTACGACCCCAGGTACAACTCTGTCAACGTCACAGGGATTATTGATATTTCCAGAGGCAGTGAACGATCCCTGATGGAGGCCGTGGCTGCTGTTGGGCCAGTTTCTGTTACCATTGATGCTAGTCAGTCTTCTTTTCAGTTTTACCAATCAGGTTCGTTTTTAAATAAAATGCCATCTGCTTCATAAGTGATTCATTCTGTCTCCGTCTTTTGTTACTCTGAAATGTTTCAGATCGTCAAATACATTTTTTTACAAGTACATTGAAAATCAGTTCCCAAATGATAAATTCCTTTGATTATGGTATAGTCATTTCTTAATGTCATCATGTTCAGATTGGACTCACTTGATGAGATGATAGGACTCTGGTGTGCTATTGCTTGGTTGGAAAGAAAACCTGCAGCCACTCGGCACTTTCTGGAACCAGTTTGACACCCCTGCTCTAAGCCAAAACAACCATCACGTCTTTGCAATAACAGCCACTGAGTCTTTAAAACAATGAGAAATTTTGTCTCAGTCTTCTTTTCAAAATCAAAGGCATATGAAATACTGTTTTTGCCAACCTCGTCTTGTCAGGTGGGTTATGTTAAAAGGGTTTCTTAATAGGTACAAGTCAATCAGTACTCAGACATGCAAAAAAAGGCTGTGATTGAGAATGTACAATATAGATATATAAGAAATTAAAATAATTTTCAGCTCAGCCTGAGTCTTTTTTCAGTGGCAGCACAATAAAACTGCATTAAAACCTTTTAATGTCTCACATTATTGTTTGTGTTTTAGGCATCTACTATGAAAAGCTTTGCAGCACCTCCAAGCATAACCATGGTGTGGTGGTTGTTGGTTATGGTTTCCAAAAAACCCATGATTCTGTTGAAAACTACTGGATTGTCAAAAACAGGTAAGATCTTAGATATCATTGATTTTGCTGGATTTTTATGATATTATCATTTTTTAATGTTCAGTTGTTTTTTATTTAAGAGTTCAAAATTTAATATAAGCTACCTAATGTAATGACCTTAATGTAGTTATTTCATTGTAGTTTTTAAGTATTTTTACAACGGTTTTATTGTTTTACTTTTATGGTTTTATTTAATTGTATTTTTCAAATCAATACAGTTTATAGCCCAGAAATATTGCAAGTTTGGTTTAAATATATTTAAATAGAACCAACTTATACTGTTTATTTTCTTCTTTTTTTAAGTCAGATCTGATCTAGATTTTGTTTTTTTGACAGCTGGGGCTCAAGGTGGGGAAACAATGGCTACATCTACATGGCTAAAGACAAAAAGAACAACTGTGGCATTGCATCCCATGCCAGCTATCCTCTGGTCTGAGACGTTTTACTCCAATATCATGCAGTGGAGAAATGGAAATCAGCTTTATCCTGACTTCTGCGTTAATATGAGCATTTCCAAAGTTTTATGACCAGTGAAAATTGGCTTTTATTCAAATACTGTATAGATAAGCATAGTCATGGGGCTTAAAACATCTTAACATATTGTTCTTACAGTATAAAAATGTGGCAGTAGCTCATTAACCACAGCTTGTCAATTAGAAGGCTGTTTAGTTTGATTTCTTTACAACTACAGGCTTCAATATCCTTAGTAAGACATTGGATCCCTTTTAGGTAAAAAGGTGAGAGACTGAGTTTGAGTTGTGCGCTTCTATCACCTGTACGTTCCGTAGCATTTTATTTTGAGAAACATAGGTCTGGTGTGAGGACAAGCCAGCACCAGGTGCTAGCTGGGTTTAAACACAATACCAAGGAAAGCATTTTTTTAGAGTGTGCTTTCTTTGCTGATCATCGTTTTTCTCTATGCTGCATTTATAGATGGAATAGCTTGAATCTAGGTTTTAATATTTTTTCCAATGCCACCCAGACCACTTGGCTATTTGGTCCTGAATCCAATACAAATCTGATCTTTTCAAATGTGACCTGCGTCTGAACAGCCAGGTCGCCTGGGTCTTGCTATAAAGAAGCGACAAGAAAAACAACCATGGCAGACGATTCACTACAATCTGGCACTACCATCCATGTTTACTTCCATAAACACAGAGCACGCTGGCCTGTGATGTAATTGCGTCCTCTACTGCGCATCCAGGACACTTGCGTTGTATGACTGCAGTTCACACAGGAGATCACATACAAGTCGCATATTTGGAAATATGAACAGCAACGCAAAAAGTCGTATTTCACAAAAAAAAATCGGAATAAGCATCAAGGCCTGCAGTGTGAACGTAGCCTTATTGTGTGGATCATTCCAATGTAATCCCTGTTTTTCCATTCTTGCTCCTTGTGGTGTGGTGTTCGGTACATTTTATCTTTTATCATCAATAAATCCTCCAACAAATTATGCTGCCTCCAGTTTCCATCATTCACTTCTGCAAACAAGAAAAAATCCTCAACATCAGTAATTTCAAACAACTTATGGCATGATTGTTATTTTTGACCACTTTTATTTCACTTTCAAACTGACATTAAGTGAAAACACATCATCTGACAGTACTGTATGTCAGAAACTGTTTTGAAGAATCCTACCATAAATAGATTTGTGGAGAGCCTAATCAACACAGGCTTTTAAACATCTTTTAAACAATCCTGCTAATCTTAAGCATGCCGAATCAAAACACCCATTTTGTCTCTATTATAACAGTACTGACTTTATCGCTATTTTCTAACGGCAGAGATGTTTGTCAGAATGGTCATAGATCACATGGTTTCTACAATGTGTGTATAATATATTTGGTTCAACCTACAGTATGGCATAGAAAAAAAAAATACAACCAGCCTTTTCCTTTGAGTTACATGTTTTTTATTTTTAGAGGTCTTAGGATTGGACAATGGACTTAGTAACTCACAATTTCTACTATTCAGTCTTTATTGTGTTTATCTATTAGAAGACATTTATTTATTATCAATAAAATAAAATATTTTTCAGTTGATAACAAAATTTCTGGGGTAGTGAAAAACATAACATTCAACATTATCTCACACATATTTCTCGGCTGCAGCTTTTATGAGAACTTCTTGACAAATGACAGGTACTCGTTGACGTCATCTGGCGAGCCAACAACGAAGGGCACCCGCTGGTGGAGAGATTCTGGCTGAATTTCCAGAATCCTCTGAGTGCCTGTGGTGGCGAGGCCACCCGCCTGCTCAATGAGGAAGGCGATGGGGTTGCATTCATACAGCAGCCGCAGCTGTGGGAGGACAGTTTTTCAAAGGCATGGAGAGAAAGACATCTTAACAACTGATCAAACTTTTCACAAAACAATGACGTAGCTACTGTTGAGGGGAGTGTTGGCCTAGTGGTTAGAGCAGTGTGCTTGAGCTCTGAGAAGATTGCAAGTACACGGTTCAATCCCCACTGCCTGCGCACTGGCTCCCTGAGCAAGACCCTTAACCCCACACTGCTCCCCAGGCACCGCACAATGGCAGCCCACTGCTCCCCAAGGGGATGGGTTAAATGCAGAGAGTGAATTTATCCATTGTGAGATCAATAAAGTTATATTTCTGTAGTCACTTTGCTTCAACAACATTTACCTGTATGCTGATGACTAAAAATGATGGGATATTTGCTAAATTTAAAAGACTGAAAAAGTTATGAAAGCAGCTAGTGGGATAAAAAGAAAAAAACTACATCTATGAATTATCATTGAAAATTAATTAGAAAAATCAAAATAGCAAAACCACACGTATGTTAATGTCTTATGATCAGTTATTGGACTGATCTTTAAACTTCTACAGACTGAAGGAGATTCAACTTTTTCCTGAGCATATTACTAATTCATATGGTTTGCTCGTGCTTTGGGGACTGATGGTGACACCTGAGCATAGTTTTACTAATTTATATATTAACAACGAGAGCTAGGCAGCTGCTTCAGGCCTCCAGAGCAACAGAGGCTTCAAAGAACATTAATAATCACAGTGTTTGCGTTCATACATCTAGGAATAAGAGGTCAGCTTTAGATATAAGAAAACAAATGATTCTGTCTGATCATTTCTATGTTGTACTTTGGCAGAAGAGAATTTAAAAAAACTGCTATAAAAATATAACATTTTTAGATATGCAAGGAATGTGTTCAAATGGCTTTTCATCATGTGACTCTTAAAATTAAAATGTCATGAGTTTGAGCAGTTTAGTAAACAGACATGGTATATTATTTTCCGATTTTGTTTCTCGTTAATCATTATGAAAATCCTGTATGTTTAAAGCAGAAATGTTCGATGAAGGACAAGAAAATGTAGATATTAATTTAGATGTAGTAAACCATCATACTGAAAAGTTTCCAAATCGAATCCCACCAATTATTTAAATTTGATGGATGGTTTTAGTTATCTATCCAGCAGAAATAATTGGTGTGTCAGTCAGCAAAAATTCTTGCATGCATCAGTTTTGCCCAATTATTACATAGATGTTTTCAAGTGATGCACTTAAAACATTAACTCTTCAGTGTTGATGTTGTTACTGGAACATTTTTCACTCTGCATTTAGCTTGGATTATATAGTAACAAAAGCAGCTACTCAGCTCAGACAGAAGCTAAATCTGGCTTGATTGAAGTTTTATTGTTTATTTCTTTCCATACATCATATGTATTTTCAGATCTGATTGTAAATGTGTCGTCTCCTGAATTCACAGAAGCTTTTAGTGATCAAAAAAACATTATAATTAAATAATGTTGGAACAAGGCTCTATTCAACCTACATATTTTTGGGCCCCCTCCTGTAAAAAACAAACATTTTCTGCGAGCTGTAGCCGAGCTAATCGGCTTAGCTTTAAAAGAATCCTAGATAATTTTCTATTATTTACTGAGATGTATTTGCAAACAAAATGAACTCAAACACAAATAATTTGTAGCATCTGATTATAAGTATGGTAACACAAACGTCAATTAGTAAAGATTCCCTTAAACTTGATATTTACATTTTAAAGTTTGACCTTTTTTATAATCCATTTCAAACCCACCAGATAAATTAATAATACTCATATTAGTGCCTAACAAAGAAAATTTCAGAGCCATTTGAAAATGTAACTGCATATGTAGATGTTAGAGTCGGTTACAGTACACTAAAGGACAAACAAGTCCGGGCAGATAAGCTGGCAGGAATGAAGAAGGTAAAAGGTTGTCAATTATCTTTACTGCAGCTCTCTAACATAAATAAACCTCATATATCTGTGGAGGAAAAACAGCTCCAACCTCGGGTTACACAACCACTCGAACGCCTTTTTCTGTCAAGTGAAGAAGAAACTGCTTTACAGTTACAGCTTATATGCTATTGTTTAAAGTGAAAGAACTTTTTTAACCATATGTATGGTGACACGAGTACTGTATGTGTTTTGAACTAACTCTGTCTTTTTCAACTCACAAACAGTTGGTTTGTCGCATTTAGACATGATTTCACATATTCTAGAAATATTTATTTATACATTTCATCACATGAGCCGTACAATATGTGCACAGCTGCTCCAAGAATATAAGACTAGAAACTTAAATCACAGAAATTGTATTGTGATTTTTTTTATAAACTAACTGAGCTATATTGTCATTGAGGCAGTTTGATTTTTTTTTTTCTCTAAAAGAGCATGAGGAAATCATAGTAGATTCAAAAGAGTTTTGGACCCTCAAAAAGAGAAAAGTTCAGTTTGAAATTATTTGAGGTTTAATGTACAAAATTGAAGAGCAGTTTCCACCTTTGGTCAAGTTAGACAAAAGTAGTTTAGATCTGCAGAAGGAACATGGCTCTTTGAAACAAAAAGTTTGAATGTATACTACAAGAGATTTGTTACATTTTTAGGTTGAAAAACAGTAGTTGTACTTTAAGAAAAAAAAAAATACTATCTATCTCTGGGCACCAGAAAGATCCGGCGTGTATATCTCTATAGTTTGATACCGTTCTTGTTTGACCCGTTTTTCAGCTGTATGCAAATCTTTTATAGATAACATACTGTATACATCAGGTCTAAAAAGCTAGAATCCATCCAAACTTGGGGCTTCATTTCAAAGTTTAATGTTAGCTTAAACCTCTGTTATTTCTGAGCTTCTTAAGAAATTAATGTGGAATAAATCCCATTTTGACAAATTAACCTCCAGACTATTAAAATTCTTGATATTAAATATCATTTGTTTTTAAATTTGAAAATATGAAATGACAGAGATTGCATTATAATATTTTAAGATAGATCCTTGGAGAAGAAACCTTTTTTGGGTAATAAATGTGAGATTACCTTTCCTTTTGGGCTCTTCTCATTTGCAGGATACATAAAGATCCCTCCATAGGCGATGGTGCGGTGAACGTCTGAGACCATAGAGCCCACATAACGGGCCCCATAAGGTGAGCTGCCATCCTGTGCAACATAGAAGCAGTCAATTAAATGATCTCATTATTTGTGAACATAAAATAAAAAAAATTGCACAGTCAGGATTGTAAGGTTATACAATTCTGCTTATCTTAAATCAGAATCCAAAACTGGTTTACAGTTTATCATGCTTTCTCAATGTTAAAATTCCACATTTTAATTAATTTATTTTTTTTTATAGTAGACCTTTTAAAGAAATGTTGATTCTGTTATAACCAGTTAGAAGGCATTTTATTTTATCTATCCATTTAATATTGCCTAAAGACTTAATCAGTGTTATTTATTTGAAATGTTCTTTGCATTTGCATCTCAAACTTAATGACATATTTTTTGTTTTTATGCAGCCAAACTTGCATGTAGGAAGATGTTGTGAATTACTATGGGCTAAAAGCTTACAGTTCTGCTGCTCAACACATTTCTTTATAAAATAAACTACAAAATCAGATGAAAAACTGGTTAAAATATTTGTACTTATTTTGTAAATATCAATGCTTGGGATTTACAGACCATTTTGCTATACCTATAAGCACCACATGTACTAAATACTCCACTAACTTTTTTTTTCTTCTGAGTTTTGACCTATTTTACTGTAACCTACTTCAATGGATCTGCGTTAATCATAAAGGATAATCGATAACCGGCAAATCTGCTGCTTAGGAAACACTCAGCGGGGTCAGAGTCCACAAGCAGTAAATATGAGAAATACATGAAGCAAACAGACATCTTTAGGACCTTTTTGGAAATTGTGGCTATAGGGTTGTTTACCCCACAGATTCCACAAACCGAAAGCTTTGCAAATACAAAAAAACAAAACAAAAAAAACAATCCTGCAGCTATGTTTCTGGCAGTTGTTTTTCATGCTCAGAGTCACGAGCTTGTTGACTCACCTCCCACTCATCTAGGGAAGGGTGTGTTTGGACAGGTTTACTCAATGCACACGTTAATGCACACAAAACTTAAAAACACATTCAAAGAAAAAAACATATATAAATCATCAAAAAAAAAAGTTGTAGATGAATGAAATGTGGAAGATTTTTAGGGTTAAACTTATTTAAAAACACAAATAATTTCTTATATTAAGTCTATTAAAAGTAGAAGTTCAGGTAAAATTTTCTTTTATCTCTGAAACCAGAGTGTTCATGATCTGACTTTTTCTTCTTTCCTTGACTAAGGATTAATTTTTCCAGACAAAACAAATGAATCTCTATGTGTTAATCTATGTAGCTTCTTCTAAACCGAGCAATTATTTTCCAACTGGTTTTCAAACACAATAAATAAAAGGATGGCCGTTTAAGAACAGAAAGGAAAAAATGCTGTAAAACTGCCTTCAGTTTAATCCTCTGAAGCGTTGAGCCATGTTTACGTTACTCTTTAACCTCGTGATTTGAGCCGTTGCGTGCTGCAGTGAGAAAAGCCTGCAGTTACTGTTTCCTTCTGCTGTGTCATTGTTATGATCACAAGTGTTCCAGGATAAAACGGTGGCACAATGTTTTCCTTTTTTAGCCGCAAAAGCTTTACAAAAACGTACTTCTGCAAACTGAAATAGCAAAAGCAGTGAAACCTTTAATACGTCTAAAATAAGAGGAATGACATTTCAGCCTAATGCCTTAGATTTGTAGCATTTAATCTAAACGAACGACACAACTTCTGGAACACAGACCTTCAGAGAGCTCAGTAGAGATGTGATATCTTTGGTAAAAAAACAACTACAACATATTAGTTGTTGAGTGGGAAATACCTTTCTTTATGTACCAAACTAAAGTCAAATGTCAGGATGTTAGTCTGAAAAATGAAGTTTGGTTCAAACTGGGTCTTCAGCAGCTCAATGATCCCAAAAACAGCAGAGAAGTGTCAACAGAAACACAGAAGAAGAGATGTCAAACCTAAACATCAGCGGAACAGAAATGTTTTAGTGGGACCTTAAGAGAGTTTTACAAACAATTAGAATATTTGAAAAGCATCAAGGAACTGAAGTTACATGAATAAAAAAAAACAGTGAGCTTAAAGTTGTACATGGTGTCAAAGTCAAACTGGAACTTATTGCTGATAAAGGTGGCTCCACACAGGGACACCTCCAGTGGGCTCTGGATGGGGTCAGTGATATTAAAGCATGTTGCTATGGTGAACTTAAACTTTAGGTCCGATTCAACCCAAAAAGCTAATAATCATCTTTACGATACTGTAAACAACGCCACACCATGTAGGTTTATGTAAGAAACTACCAATAAGCTACAAAACTGCATGTTTAATATGTTAAAATTTTCCTTTTTCAGACAGTGAACCATTTAGTGTCCATAAAGCAGTTATGCGACTAAGTTTTACATTAAATATGAGATTTTGGCCAAGAGCTAATCCTAACAGTGCCTCTCTGTATCTCAGAGTTTATAAATCAGTGAATGGCTCAGAACCAAAATACTTGTACATTAAACATTTTATTCCTAACTAATCTCCCAGGTTATTGATATCATCTGCTCGCAGTCGTGTTTGCATTCCCAGAAACCAGATATTTAGAGGCACCTTTGACGTTATATTTAAAATATCAGAACAATCATTAGTTTCTATTATTATGCTGCTGAGATCAGCCTTTTTGTTTGCTTTTCTCCTGTTTTCCTTTATGTCGTCTTGTCACTGAAATGTACGCAAATAAACTTGTATGGTCCATTTGTGTTGCTTTACACAAAGATATACTCCTAAAGGTGATGGAAACTTGTTAACGTTTACCATCAAAAATATCATCAATACATTTGATTTTTTGATCATCTGAAGTAAGTTGTTAATTTTCTCTGACAAAATGTTTTTTTTTTTCAACATTGCTCCATTGTGTTTGTCAGCAGCGCCATTAAATACTTTTTCATTACATCTGTTCTCCTACTAACTAAATGACATTCAAAACGGAGCAATGAAAAAACACTGAGGAAATATTAATTAGTATAAAGAGAAAAAAGAAAAAAAAACTGTTGATTAAGAGTGAATCTTTGTATTAGCAGTCCAGCAAAGTGATGTGGGTGTCCACTGAAAGAACGTAGACTACTGTCTTTAGCTGTGACTGTACAGGATGAAATGTCACGGCTGAGGAAATAAGCAATAAAAAAAAAAAGAGGATTTGAGGTTTACCACAGTAATTCATCAGTGATGAGAGGGATGCCAATGACAGAGTCAGTCATCATGTGTGTAACGGTGCTGAAGGAGTGCTGAGTGTGCAGCACTGGACATCAGAGTTTCCGGATGACCGCCTGCAGTTTCCTGACGTACAGCAGGTTTCCTGCTTTGAGCTGACGCCGCTGCCTTTCCTTCTTCCCGTCTTACCAAACATCACACTGCTTCATCAGCTGATCTTCACACGCTACAGTCGGGATCTAATCTCTGTTTGCTTGGTTTTGGTTTTTACCACCTGGCTGCATTGAGCAACTTTCCCATCTTTACACATGTGCAAAATGTTTGTTATTTATCAATAAATGACTGATTTTAGCCCCTAATATATATATATAGTTATATTAGGAATTTCAATACATATTGTTACATTAAAAAAGTATGAAACTGTGTAATCGTTGCTAAGAAAATACAAATTTTATTTAACTTTTTAAAACCTTTTTGTCATGCTTCTGCAATCAGCTTTCTGTAAACCTATTCATGCAGATCAAGTGCTTCATCAGGACTCACATGATGAGCGTCTTTTTTAAACTCATGTCTCAGGGCTGAATATTATTTCTGAACCAGCTAAAAAGATGCTTCTGTTTGTCAGCGAGTCTTCCTTCCATTTTTTAGCTTTGTGCAAAAAAGAAAACGTACAGATGCATCTCATGTTTCTGGCTCAGAGAGACTCACACAAGCTTCTGCTAGTCGTAGATTTGAGCAAAAAGCTCTCACCTCAGGATACTTCTTGTGTTTGAGGTACTCGTTGATGGAGGGATGAAAGTATTTGGCGTAGCCTTCGTTCAAACTGTAGATCTTTCCCTTCTGCTTGATCCTCACATTCCTCTCAATCAGGATGAATTCACCGATGGCCTTTTAGACAGGAAAAAAATATTCAGATATCAGATCCTCAGAAGAAAATTGGTAACTTTAATGATGTGTTAATAGAAAATGGTAGATAGGTTTCAGTTTGAAGTTTAAAGCATAAAAATACAAATTGAGCAGCTGTAAATCTGTATATTGGCTAAAAAGAACGCTATTTAAATTTAGCACAAGCAAAAAAGTGAGTCATAGTCATCTTGTTAAATATAATAAATGAAGAAAATTAGAAAGCACCTCTGAGAGTGAGAAGAAAATCGAAAAGAAAATGTCCTGAATATAGCACCTTCCAAGACGTAGCTACATGGGTTTCCAACAATTAACAAAAATATACGTTTCTTTTTTGTTTTCAGCAAAGCCAAAAAAAATGATTTTAGAAGTCACCTTTATTAATATAAAACTGTAGTTAATACAATTCAAATGAATCAAAATTGAGACAGTGACCACTGCAAGCTGAGACTGTTAAAGATGGAAAATAACACAAGATAGGAAATCCTCGAGGTGGAGGGAGAAGACAAGATAAAGTGAAAAAAAAAAATTGCTGATTAAAAAAAAGTGGGTCAAAAGATCATCTAACTTAACAAAATTGAGAGGAGAAAAAAACATTAACCAGGAAAGTAAAAATTTATAATTTCGCTTAAATACTTAAGCTGCATTTATTATGTTGGTTACTGTGGGATAAAAGCTGGTGTGACTGGGATCTACACATTGGGAAATTAGTGTAATTTTGTGGTACATTAAATACTGTCACAAAGTATGACTAATCACGCAATCCTGTTCTGAAGGGTGCAGAAAAATGATGATCAAGGATCTGGAATCTCTGTTTGTGCAGCATGTGATAAGGTATGTTAAGTTCAGCATTGCCTTCTCCTTTCATAACTTTTTTCCTATTTAAGTATGAACTAAGCCTTCTGTAATAACTATGGGTGTTCTGATACTGCCCCCGATTGGTCAAATAAATGAATAAACACATTTAATAGAAAGTAAGTCATGCCGTCAGTTAAAATTTTCATTTCAGCATGTGACACACCTAAACATTCATCAGCGTAGACAGAGAGTCTGCAGAGTTTTACATTAAACGATATGATTAATGAGAAGTAGTTTTGTAAAAGTGTCAGCAGTAATTTGTAACCATTGGTGTATAATCTAGTGTTGAATCAGAATCAAAATCAGAAATACTTTAATAATCCCAGAGGGAACTTACTTTTGTTACACGCTCCAGTTACTGTTTTATATATATATATACACATCCAACTATACAATATAATAAAGATAAAAAATAAGAATAAAAAGAGATAAAATATATACACATATAGCTCTTCTGTATATATATCTGTACGTATATCTATGCAAATATATATCTGTACGTATATCTATGCAAATATATATCTGTACGTATATCTATTGTTGATCTATTTGATCATACCCTAGAAATGCAATGGCAGTTTTGTTTTTCTGGTGAAAAATGATGTATGCCACAATTTGAATCATGAGGTAAGGTGATGCCAGAGCATGATGATCTCAATGCATCCTGTTTCCTGCACCACTAGAAGGACTGTCATCTAAAATAAAGTTTATATATAAAGTTAAACATTGTTCTTTCAAAGTAGAATTTTGGGGAAGACTTACAGGGTCCAGCATGAAGAAGTTGAGGCCGGCGCCGGTACTGAGGGCCACCAGGGTGGCACTGCCGTACAGGGCGTAGCCGGCACACACAATGTTGGTCCCTTTCTGCAGGGCGTCCTGCTCTGTGGGCTCCCCCTCTGATGTCTGCATATTAAAACAACAATATAGAGAAAAACTGCTTACTGAGAGCTGGCCAGTTCATAATGTTTATTAGTCTACTACAGTCGAATAATAAAGGTTTCCTATTTTAAACATTTAAAAATAAATTCTTGCTTTTACATTTTCTACTGATTTGCATTTTTGTTTTGAAAAACATTATTAGTTCATTTCTGTCCATTGAAAAGCATCAAGCTGTTATTACATCTGTTTTTATAAAGCTGTTAAAGGTTAAAGGACTCAGTTATAATTAAAATTTCCAATCTAAAAGCTATATATTTATTTATGTCCAATTGATTTGATCCAAAATAAAAACATGTAAGTTATAATAAATAAACCCAAAAAGGTCTTGTATTTCTAATTACTTATACAATATTTTAATTTCCAACTTAAAACAGACACCCTGTATTACCATAACTGCTGCAGAATAGACTGATTAGGCTCCTAATGTAGGAAAATGTAACTGTACCACCCTCTGGTGACCACAGCTTGTTACTGCAGCTAAGAAGAACTTTAGAAGTTCATTTTTGTGGAATCAATCTACTTTGAAAGGATTCTCAGATGTCAGCCTCACCCGTTTGTAGATGGCGAATATGGTGCCAATAGAGGCCAAGCAGTCGATGTTACTGGAGCCGTCCAGAGGGTCAAAGCAAACCACATACTTTCCCTGAGTTCAAATAAAGAAAACATCCGTGTTTATATCATATTGAAAAAAATCCTACAAACAAGCCTGCATTCAAATCCAACCAATATAAACTCTATGATGGAGTCTTCTTCTGAGGGGAAATGTGCTGAAAAACACCAAAGGGATCGTCCTGGACGTCTCCCCCACAGCCAACATAGAAAACTCATTTCTGCTTGTGTCCACAATCTAGTACTTGTAGTCATAACACACATGTCCTGTCAAAAGGTTAGGAATGGAATGTGGATGGACCAGCATATCCAGAGCTTCACCATTCAGCTTAGCTCTTTCACCACCACAGACCCCATCAGCATATCTCCATCCCCCACTTAATCCAGCAGGATACTCAAACTCCTCTGCTTGAGGCAGAGTCAACCTTTGCAGAAACAACAAACATTTGGTTTGACTAAAGAGATTTTAAAAAGCCTCTGTCCATCCAAGAAAATGTTCCTCAGTGTCCTTTATCTAACGTTTATTCTTATTATTATGACATAAGAAAAGATTGGTGATTTACAATTTAACATTATATGATCAGCCATTCAAAATAAAACAAATATATACATTCTTAAATATACCCCATTAGATGACTTAAGTGATGAGACTCTAGATCCAATGTGGAAACATTTTACCCCCAGAGCAAACAAACAAGGACACATGGACACATGCAGCACTAGTCAAAGGGTTAAAATTTATTTGTTACTTTAGTGTGATTGAGAAACAGAAATAAACCTAAACACATTTAAAAGCATTAAAGCAGTGGAAGGATTTCTCTTCTCAAACATTTTGGTTTCTCTTAAATGTTTCAGATCATCACAATTATACATCTGGTTTTCAAATGATAAATTAGGGGGGGAAAAAGAAAAAAAATATTTAAAGTTTTACTTTGTCATCTTGATCAGGTTGGATTTTAAACTTTGAGTACTCTCCAAAGCCTTACCTATCCTTTGGATTTGCTAGTAAGCATCAAGTTCTGTCACATGACCAAAGTGTGCTTGAGCTTAACCTCATAATCTGATGGCAAAAACATTTCTTTTAAGGATTTTCTGGTTTCCATAATTCAGAGTAAGTTTAACTGATCTACTGAGGCAGGTGTGGCCAGTAGTGCTTTACATGTTTCCCCGGGAGTGATTGTACTATTACTTTAACTTGGAAGTGTTAAATTTCACTAATTATGGACCAGAGTAACTTAGAACCCAGTAAAGAACAATGGCAACATGAGAGCTTAAGTAAAGGAAGGAAGTATGGAGAAAGGCATGGTTAACAACTGAAAGTATTCAAGTGAATGAGGAACAACTGAGTCTGATTAAGGCAGATGAAGCTGAGGGGAGAAGACCAATAAACAGGAAAGAAACAGAAAAGAACTCTAATTAAAAAAAGTTAAACGTACATGGAAAACTGGAATGAACACTGCAAATACAAAAAAAGTAAATCAACTTTTCTAGAGATAAATGTATATTCCAATTGATTAGAGTGAATAATTAAAACAACGTGCCAATGGAATAAGATTATTCACCTTTCAAATAAGAACAAAACATCTCCATTATTTTATTTCATGTGCATTATTCAAGTGAAAAAATATAATTTCCATTGGTAGATCTTATTCACCAAAACAGTTAAAAATGAACTTGTGTTACCCTTTTGTCCTTAGGAGTGATGATGAGCTCCTTGTTCTCCTCGGACACCATGCAGCAGGTGCCGTAGGACGCCCGGAGCATGTTGATGACCATGTCATTGGACAGCACGTCCAGCTTCTTCACATCATCTCCAGTCACATTCACAGAGCCGGCCATGCCTTGCCTTAACATATCAAACCAGCAGATAATTAAGTTTAGACATTTAGACGCCAACCATGTTTATTAGATTCAATTCAGTTTATTTCTATAGCGCCAATTCAGAACACGAGTCATCTCAAGGCACTTTACAGAGATAATTCAACCAGATCATACAGTCAGATTGATTAAAAGTTTTCTATCTGAGGAAAACCAGCAGATTGCTTTGATTCATTGACTCGATATCAATCCCTCACTCCAAGCATGCTTATAGCGACTGTGGAGTAGTAAATTTGACTTCTTCATTGTACGAAAAACACACATTCCCATTACTGATCTGCTCAGCTTGTGAGCATCTTTCAATGTTTTTCTTCGGACTTTGACTGGTTTGTGACTCATTTTCTATTAGGTCAGTCTAAAAGTATCAATCAACTGTTTGAGGTCAACAGAATAGAATTAAAAAACTAGTAACAGGAAATGAATAGCTGGGTGTACACTAAGAAGCAGGAAATGAATACAGAGAAGGCCTGACACAGAGGCTGATAACTGTTATCCTTCACTTATTTTTTACCCTCTTTAGGGTCTGTTTTATCATTATCTCCCTTCTATCTCCTCTTTTTGTTTCATCTTTTCTCCTTTTTCTTCTGTTTTTCTTCTTCTGTTCTATTTACATTGCGGTATCCATATAATCTGTAAAACTCCCTTCATAACTATAATAAAGCGATTTATATTCATAAAACAAGCGGAACACTATGGCGATAGCCGTACTGCTCCACTTGTAAAAGTAAAATCTGTTGTGCTCTTTTTGGCACCAAGACATTATTCTTACTGCCACACTGCCAGACAGGACACTGTAAAAAAAGAAAAAAAAGAAAGAGGAAATGTTTTTTCTGTTCTCTTAGGCTCACTGAGGTATTTGTTTCTGTACTGAAGTATTTTCACAAAAACCAGCATGTGTGTGGACATCTAGCTGGTATTTCTGGTTCTTTGTTAAACTGGTTTTTCTGTGAAAGCAGTGAAAGAATTTATATTTATACGGTTTGCAGCAAAAGGGAGTGAATGGAGGACCTTTGTATCAAGTAAGGTATTTGGCTTGAGTTTCCTTAGCTTATCATTAGTATTTCATGGCTTCCAAATAATGTTATTTATCCTTCTAACCTTTTATTTCTCTTTTATTATGTCCTGTAATTATTCCTTTTGTAATGTGAAAAAGGGATTATGAATAAAACAACTTAACAATAGATAAAATTGCCTTTTCTAACCAGTTGTCTTCTTAAAATCCCTGAATAAGAAGGAAACAACTGAAAATGAAAAGGAAGTATCATCTAGAGGACTGTGGGGAAAAAAATCTACCAGCTAGAGCAAATACATCCCAAAGCTCCACATTTTTTATTACGGTAAGATCCTTTTCATGTTTTTGAAAAAACATGATGGGGATTCAATAAAACTACTTTTCATTAGCATCATACTTCTGGGGTAATTTAATCTTTAATTCATGCAAAACACCCTCTAAAAACTCCTGAAGGACTTCCACCACCATCCTGCAAACCTGGCAAATCTCCTTAAGTCCCCAAACAAAGAACTGGTTATTGCGTCAACTTTGAGCAACTACAATGTTGCTCAAATCTTTCCATTCTGTCCTTTGTTAGATTTAATATTTCATTTCTCTGAGATAAGAAAATCCAAATCAATCAAAACCAAACAGAGGTTCCTGTTCTGCTCACAGCAAAGCAGCACTATCTTTACTTTGCTTAGAGGGGACATTAAAACCAACATCACTGCTCCACAGCATTACAACAGAACTGCTTAAACATATGACTAGGAGAACAATCTGACACGTCTCCTCAATCTACTCAGGAATGAAATGTCAAACATTTGGCCCCTAAAATGAAACCCTATCATCTCTGTGAGGCTGTTGTACAGCCGGCCCTCACCTTATGACACTGAGGTCAGTGTCCAGGTCACAGATTCTGATTCAGCAGCTGAGGAAATGCTCATTTTGCAGCTTTTTTCAGCCACTGAAGCTAATCTGAGGTGGTCTATATACCCAGCCAAAGTCAAACTTGACTTTTTATGGAGGGACGGGCGAGTAAGGTGGTGGTAGAAATCACAAACATGTATTTTAATTAATTTATCTACAGAATAGGGTAATCCGTAGTTAAAATCACATTTCAATAATTGTGGTTTTTGAGCCTGCTGTTGTAAGGAGCTCAGCAGCTCACAAAAAAAAAAAAAAGTTTTCTGACAAATAAAGGGTTCAAAGGGATATTAAAGACTCAACTGCTTTCTTCAACTGAATGTCTTCGAAGATGGTTTGAATTGCAAATAAGAATTAAATGATCACATCAGAGTTTTCTCCAGAAAAGCTTCAGAGATCTGAAAGTGAATTTGAAACATTACACTTTATTTTATAATTATTATTTTTTTTTAACATATAATAAAATTTTTTGCAGGATTGTCCATATTTTTTCTTTTTAACAAAAGCCTGGTTTTAATGAATCTAATTGTAGCATTGTCCAGTCAATGTTCAGACTGTCTTATATACTTTATGCATAACTCCACTGCCAGTAAGCTGATTAATCCAGGTGTGTGGCCCTGTGTAACCATGACGAGTTAGGCCAGCCACACCTGTGTTAATCAGTTTGTCCAGTAATGAAAGACAGAAAACAAAAGATCTGCCAGAAGTTCAGGAAGCAGTGGAGTTAGGTATATAGTCCATTGTTCTGATTTTCGTAACCTAACCAAATCTAAAGTTGACAGAAAATATTCCAAACAGAAACTAGAGGCTCCGTTTTCAACTTTGAATGAATGCCTTTTGAAAACTAAACTTGGGAGATTAATGTGGACCAGACTCAGGATGTGAACGAAAACAAAACAGAACATCAATTCCAAAACTCAATGTGTTCAAACTGTACTGTATTTTACTTGTAATGGATTAGCAGAAACCCTTGAAAACAAAGTTAGTGTTTGAGGGAAGGCCTTATGCACTAGGTTAAAAATAGCTCTTTTTGTGTTACCTTTAAGCTGAGTTCTTTTAAAGTGAGGACGAGTCTGTTTGGTCCAGCTTTCATATATATATAAAACCTTGGTCCAAAGCCTTTCAGGTCGACCCACATCTCCTAACGTAGACTAATGACCCAGCAAATAAGCAGAGTTTTAAAATATTTCAACTAAACCAACAAACAGAAGATGGATATAACACAAATGACAGCACCATGTTGTTTTTTTATCAGCATGTTAGTATTGATTTTTATGTCCTCTAGAAGTTTGTTATTTGGGGTTATTTTTGAAAAGGCCATTAAAAGATGTAGTTGGAGGTTCATAAATCCAAATGTGCATTTAAAAAACCCTTTTTTTCACACACAGCATATTGTTTAGGTCCAGATTTAAGCAGCAACTTATTAAAACTGGACATGAACCAAAGTGGTGCAGAATCTAAAAATGTAGAAAAATGTACCTTTGCTGATTAGTGTCTCAATCTCATTGTTGAGCACCACATGTTTGATGCAACCAATACAAGACATGCAAAGATCACCCCAAACTGAGGGATCTAAGTCTTGGGTCGGTGAGTACTTACAGGTGGGCCAGACCTGCCTTACGCACAGCAGAGGAAATGGCTTTGATTGCGGTCAGCATGGCAGTGAGGAGCTGGGTCATCTCCCCAGTGGCTCCTGGGGCCTGCCGACCCGTCTCGATGATGAACCGGGTCAGGGTCCAAACGTCTGTGTCAAACGCTGACTGGTCCGACATGCTGGGTTCTGGTTCTCCAAGCCTTCCTTGCAGGCAGTGAGTTTAGATGTTTAGCCTTCAGAGGACGGGCTGGGAGTGAACCCTCTCATTACCCACCACGTCCTTTTCATTCTTAGGGCCACAAGGGCGAGTCAGGGGATCTATTTGTGAGAGCAGCCGAGCGTAGACTGAGTGAGTATTTGGAGATATTGGTGTCAGGTGTCGGCTGCAGAGACATGCAGGGCTTTATGCAGCACATGAGCTGGATTTATTTGGTTTGGTAGGATGCAAATGATCTGAAAGATATATGTTCATTGGGCAGTAATGGACCAGTAATGTTTCCAGAACATTTTTTTTATTAGGATTTTGCTCCTTAAATGTCACCTTAAACATACAGTTTGAATATTCCTTTTGAGCCATCAGTTTATACACCATCTAAAGGATTTTTAACTTGAACTTTTTTGTGGTCTGCTTGGTCAAGATTCCACAAACACCCAGGAACAGCAGCTCCTTTGAGTTTTAAATGTCACACTGCATGAAGAACTCCATCTGACCTTTTAACTAAAGGTCAGATGAGCCTTTTAGGTTAAAGGGCAACTCTGCAGGATAAAGTATCATTTAACATTTATAAAAAGTTTTATGCAACCGTTTGCTTTTAAATAAACATCTTTATCATGATGGGTGAGTTTTGTTGTGTTTCCAACTTATAACATTCAGTTATGTCCAGTTTTTGCTGCGTTTTGGCTTCCTGCTTTACTCTGTAACATTGCACAGTTACATTATGTCAGTATTGGCTAAAAAAGTACACCCTGCTTATTTTCAGGGTTTTAACTCATCAGGACATAACAATTTGTTCTCCTACAGGATTTGAAGATACTTCAGTCTAACCTAATTTATCAAACATTAGAGAACAGATCCCAAACCATCATTATTTATCAAAGAAAGCCCAGATGATTAGTCTATGTGAAAAACCGAGAGCAATGTATGATGTAGGTTGTGTTTTAGGTGACTAAAATTGTGAGTTTATTTAGATTTTCTGGTGCAACTACAAGCACCGGACTTAGATCCAGGATTTCATTGTTTCCATGCTCTCTTATTCACCCTTGTTGCAGGCTGGAAATGTGCTTACCTCTACCTTTGCATATGTAGATCTGCAGAGACCAAAAATGAAGTCCCTCTGATATTTTAAAAATGCATTTTTTAAGTTGCCGTTCCGTTGCAAATTATTTTTGCAGAGCTGTGCCTTATTAAAAAGCTGATCATCAGATCAGAGCCCACCTCTGTTAATGTTGTAGTAGTTTCCAGACTTCAGCCTTTATTTTGTGCTATAAATTAACACAACATGAAGACAGAACAACATCGGCAACAACATTAAAGAAGCAACAATTGCTACCTATTAATCACAGAAGGGTTATATTACTGAACAAATAAAATCTACTGTTTTGCGCTAAGAAAGATTATTCATAAGCACATGTTTGGCAATAATGCAATTAACCATGTTTGGAGAAAACCAAACAGAACCGAGAACTGACTGAACCGTATAAAGAGCACAAACAAAGCAGCAAACTGAAGAAATCCAGGAGTTACTTCAGCCTAGTTAAAGTCTAGAACTGAAGTTGTTCCGTAAAAGATTTGAAGACGTTTCGCCACCTCTCCAGGAAGCTTTCTCAATTCAAATGTCTGGATCTGCAGTGAGTTTGAGTCTTACATAGACAAAGCCTTGTATCGCTTGGAAACATGCAAATGTTAACCGGGTCGTTTGGTTCCATTGTTAGCCTGTAATATCTGAAACCTGTCTATGATTCTGAAGGTCGGTCGTTGAAGGGGGGGGATTGCCGTTAAGGGGGGGATTGTCTCCTGTAATGCCTGAAACCTGTCTATGATTGTTAAGAGTCGGTCGTTAAGGAGGTATTGTTCACCAGCTGGAGCGGGTAGGTGCTTCGTTCCTCTGTGATGAGGTGGGGGTTGTGGTGATATCTGGAAGGGATCATGTCTATGAGTGAATTGTATGTTTTTGGAAGCTGGAATCTGAGTCCACCACCTCTGTTTAAAGTTGTTTTTTCTCTCTTAACATAGATGGCTTCCTTCACGCCCCTCTCAAACCACCTATTTTCTTTATCCAGAATGTGAGCATTCTGGTCCTCAAAAGAATCTTGTCCAGAGGAGGCTGCTCTTCTGTGTTGGGCCATGCGTCTGTGGAGAGGTTGTTTGGTTTCTCCAATATAAAGATCAGAGCATTCCTCGATTCAAGTCTTTGTCTATATAAGACTCAAACTCACTGCGGATCCAGACATTTGAATTGAGAAAGCTTCCTGGAGAGGTGGCGAAACGTCTTCAAATCTTGCAAACCAAGTCCAGTGGATATTTTTTGAACTTTTACGGAATGACTATGACCTGGATGACTGAGAATCTTCATCAGCAACTGAAGTTGTTGGTGATGCTTTGGTGGGACTTCAGGTGATGTGATGGCAGGATGTGCAGCCCTACAAAATTGATTTAAATGCATCACTTTATATTTGTTTACCATATTGTTTTTTATTCTTTTTAATTATGATTTACTACATTTGGTTGACTGAATTTGCCACATTTTTCTTGTATAATTTATTTTGAACTTATTCTTTTCTTTTGAGTTGCCAGTTCCTGTGACGCTGCTATGTGGGCTTGGCTGGACAGTGAAGCAGGATTCCCAGCTGCAATTACTTAAAATATTTTCTCTGTTTGCTGATTTTTTTTATTGTATAGATTAATCTGCTCTTTTTGTTGTCGTTTTGTTTAGGTAAATGTTCCCTCTTGTGTCAAAATGGCCTCATCAGCCAGTACCGGTATATATGTTCCCCTTGTTTGTCAGTTTGTTAGGTCAATTAATACTTCAGTTGAAAGTTTGTTTTTTCTTTACCTCAATTTCATTTTTGGGCCCAGACTTATGTTTAGGGTTCATCATTTTGTAGTAGATAAATCTGTTTCCATTTTCTCTTCATATTTCCCTTTGCTTCTCTGATTATTATAATTTTTTTTTTTTGCACAGTCACTCACAGTATCACTTTGTTTTTCAAACAAAGCTTTTCTATTACAGCTTCATCTCGCTTAATGACCGAGTGGAATCCATTCAGTATTTCCGTACACTTGGGATTGATTTGAGTCATTTTAAAATCTGATAAAATATCAGTCTCAGTATGTCATCAGACATACAACCACAGACCTTAGAGAAACATTACTTTCTTTTTAAAGGCGAATGTAATACCCAGCCTATCCGTGTTCGTGTTTGTCTTAAGGCCCACTTCGTTTGCACAGCATAAGGCCCCATGCTTGTGTAAACTTTATATTTCCGGATCACTTGCTCTGCTCCCTGCCTTTTGTAAACGTTATGTTACATTTTATGACAGTCTTGAAGTCTTAAAAAACATCACTAATTTTATTAAGCAAAAAAAAAAAAAAAAAAAAACAGAAAAAATCTTTTTGATGTATTTAATATATTTTTTTCCAAACATTAGTTATGTTACATGATAAAAGCATCACATTTTGTGCATAAATTATATTTGGTCTTTTGCATATATAAATAAAAGGCATATTTGGTCTCCTTAAGGCACAGTTTTATGAACTGGAGAACAAATTATTTGTGATAGAATCACTCAAATGTATTTAAATCTGTTTTTTGGCACAATGTTGATTTTTAAAATGGTTTATGAACAATTCATATATCATCTACTTCATTGCTGTGAGTAAAACCTGTTTTCACAGAGAAAATCTCTCTTGTTCTTTTGGTCACAACAATCCTTCAAAAACACATCATCATCCAAACCCTTTTAAATCCTTCTAAGCCCCTGAGAGCACCAAAAGTTGTCTCTGCTGGAAGTGGGAGAACTTGGAGAGCGAGTCGAGTCAGTCTCCGCCTCACTTCGACGCGTGCTTCTTGCAGAGGGCGATGTACTCCAGGACGTCTTCGGGGGAGCCCATGGCCACAGGAGCGCGCTGATGGATGCTTTCAGGCTGGATGTCCAAGATGTTCTCAAAGCCTGTGGAGGCCATGCCGCCCGCCTGCTCCATGATGAAAGCCATGGGGTTGCACTCGTACAGCAGCCGGAGCTTTAAGCAAGAGGGGGAAGTTTAGTTTCCTGAGCTGGTGTTAAACTATCAATGGTTCCTCTTTGGTGTTAGCTAGTAAAACATTTGAAAAAAAAAAAACACTAAATATTTCTACAACAGGTGCATAACTTTTAAAATGCATTGATACATTATAAGTGGAACAATCATTTTATACCTTAAAAACTTCAAAGTATATGCAATGATGTTTTTTCTATACTTTCTTTAACAGGTGTATAAAGTCGATGTGACAATAAAGGCACTTAATTTAGCCACAAAGCTGGATCAGGACATGTTTTCTGTTGCCACGGTGAACAGGCTGGAAAGAGTTAAGGCTCTGAGTCTAACTGTAAGAAAACTACAGCAAAGATGATCAGAGTATCTAAAATGGATCCTTTCAAACTGCAAAGCATGTCAAGAAAAGGTATTTCCTGGCCAAACATTACAAACATAAAAATATTTATTTGCTGAGCTAAAAGTGACTGTGTGCTGTATGAGTTTTTCACAAGCTGATTTTCAGGATGTGTCTGGGAAAGAAAAGATAAATGTGACAAAGCATCACATGCCCATTGTTAAGCACAGTGGAGGATTCATGATGCTGAGGGCAGGTATCTCTTTTTTTAAGTCCCTGTGGTGTTTTTATACACTAATTTGTATTACAATCTTTTTTTTTTTTTTTAAAGTGGAATTGTTTTACATAGATTTTTTTCCCAATTGCTTTTTATTTTACTTCAATTTAAGGTTACCATGGAGATTTATCCTTTCTATCTGCGGTTTTTTAAAGCCTCTTTGGTATTCATCCCAAAGGTTAGAAAACGCACAGATGTTTTGCATCGAGTTTAACCTACAAATACTATATTAATTCAGTTATTTTTAGAAAAAGTAGCAGTATTTCATGTTAAGTATTAATGAAAACTGTGTAAAATTATTCCCCATAAGGATTAAAATGCAGGAACTATCAGCTTGAGAGATGTATAATTTCTGAGATGTTTAACATCCTCTACTGGAGGTTTACTTCAATAAAAATGAAGAAGGATGTGAGAAGTGAAGAAATAAGGTTGTAACAGAGCGGTCGGCTTACTGGCATGTTGTTTAAGTCAGAGTCAGGATAAATTCCTCTTAAGCAGTTGCACTTTGAGCTGATCTCTGGTGTAGCCTTTTATTTTGCTCTGATATCATCAGTAAAGGAACCATATGGACCATTAAATGAAAAAGGTGCTTTACTGATATAGACAGCTGTGGGTGTTTTCTCTTTTTTTATTTTCCCTGAAATCTTCTTAATATAAATACATTTTGGAAATCAATATATGTTCATAACAGTCTGGGAAATGCTTGAAGATGGTTACTTCCTCATCTAACCTAATATGTTTCAGTGCAAAATGCAAGGTCCACAAAGATGTAGATATTTAGAAAATAGATTGGACTGCACAGATTCAGGCCCTTTAATCCAACATCAGTGTATGACTTCAAAAATTCCCTTTTGGGAGAATTGGTTAAAAAAAAAATCAATATAAATGAGTTCTTTAGAGATTTTATAAAGCTTTCCTTTGCTAAAAAGGGTGGATTAATGTCAATCTGATCCCATGGATTAAGAATGGGATGTCACTTTAGTTTAAATGCAGTTCAAGGACGGTGAGAAAACACTGAAATGGTGTGTTTGTTTTTATAAAGCTTCACAAAATGACAAGGAACAAGCAAAAGATTTAGTTTGAAAAAAGAAAAAAAGACTATAACAAGTTTGAAAAGAAGTGATTTTTAGGATAAAATTCCTTGTTAAAGCGTTTTACAGAATAAAGAACCCATATCTAAAAACATCACTGTCTTATTCTGTTAATAAAGCTGGATTTCACTAAATGATATACAGATTTTTTATGTACGCGTTTCCACCCCTTTCAACTGTTAGTTTTAGCACATTTATTCTAAGGGGGAAAAAATACACCAAGAAAGGTGTTGCTTTAAAACAACAAATGTTTCTATATAAATATCTGAATAAATAAATAAGTTTATATATATATATATAAAAAAAACTTAAACGCTAAAGGAAACAATTTTTATCTGATCTGAATACTTAGAAACATTCTGCTTTTTTTAAGTTTCAAGAAAGCAGAATAATTTATATTAGCCCCTGCTAAAAAAGAGAAAGAAACCACGTTATTTAGGTAGGTCTGGTGTGTGTTCATGCTCAAGCAAGGGAGTTAAAATTAGATATTTTTTAAATAATTTGAAACTCAGTAAAATACAGCTTGGTGAGGACTCAAGAAAACTAAAACCCTTCAGACCTCCTGCAAAACTGCAGTGATACTTTTATTATTCAATACTGGCAAGTACAATTTCAAGGTTGGAATTGTAGAAAATTCTTTACAATAGGTGCCGTATTTGTTGAGGCCCAGTTTATTATTTTATGTTTAATATTAGACGACAGCGGCAGCTGGACCTTACCTTTCCCTTGGGGCTTTTCACATTTCCAGGATATAAAAAGATTCCTCCGTACATCAGCGTTCTGTGGACGTCCGCCACCATGGATCCAATGTAACGCGCTCCATAAGGCTCACTACCATCCTAGAAGGGCAGACAGTGTTTACAGGAGCAAGAATAAAATACGTAAATATTCTAAAACATCATCAGTGTTACCTCAGGGAACTTCTTCTTCTGCAGGTATTCTGTGACAGCTGGGTCGAAATACTTTGCATAACCTTCATTCAGGCTGTAAATTTTGCCTCGTTTCTTGATCTTTACGTCTCGCTCAACAAGGATGAATTCACCTATGGCCTATTTAGCAAAAAGAACAATACATGTGAATGGACAATTAATTAAATTAATAAAAAAAAAACAAGTTCTATATGAAATAAAAGGTCATTGGGGAGTACTGACTGGGTCCAGCATGAAGCAGTTGACTCCTTGGCCGGTGGAGAGGACGATCATGGTGGCGCTTCCGTAGAGGGCGTAGCCCGCCGCCACCAGGTTCCTGCCTGGCTGTAGAGCGTCCTTCTCAGAAGGCTCATCTTCTGTGGTCTGATGGACGAATCAGATTTTTTTAATAAATGTTACTGGTTCGACTGGTTCTGGTTAATAAGTGTATCTATAATTAACTATAAAATAACTTAAGTTTTACTTAGTAAATAATTCAAAAATTTAAATAGAAATGTGTTATTTTCCTCCACTACAGCATGTGGTACATTTCCACAGACATTAATACAGTATAACAGAGCTGGCATTGAGCATTAAACAGTGATGTGATTTAACACTAAAAATCTTTCAAGCGTTTGGGATCTCTGAACATTTATTATGATAATTTATTTTTGTTCAACTTTGGTTTGTTTTTTTGTTGCAAAAGGTTTTGCCAGGCTGTGTATCCAAGTAATTTATAATATGACACGTTTTTGTCTTTATTTTTTACTATATTCATGAGCTTTTCATCAAACTAAACTAGTAATATTGATCTCCTCAGTTTTTAAATTAAAAATACTGCTGGAATTTGACATCTGTAATTTAGTTTCTTATTCATTAGACTTGAAAAAGAATTTCCAATTTTTAACACTTTATATTTTTGCAAATAGTAACAATTTGAGAGACTTCTGATAAATTTACCAGATTATCTACTATGCAATAATGATTTTACGTATAAATGATATTTATCAATACTACTGCAAATTTTGTACAATCTAAGCCTTCAACAGTACAATACAAAATATACAATTTAACTTAACCATTTCTTGGGAATAGAAGGAAATATATATATATATATATATATATATTTTTTTTTTTTTTAAGTGATATCTAGAAGAATCAACCATAAGTCCCCTTTAGGAAAACAGTGTATGAAAATAATTGTAGGAAGAAAGAATACATCATAAAACTAAAAGAAATTCAAGCCCCAACAAGGTAAATCTCAACATATTTTATCTCTTTAAGACCTAAGATTAAGGTTATTAAATAATAGCTTTTTTTTTATAATAAGCTAATGTACTTTAATTTCAGTTTATAAGTAAGATAAAAAGTTTATCAATGAAGGATGTTATTACCTTTTTATAAATAGCAAATATGGTTCCAATTGAGACAAGACAGTCGATGTTGGAGGAGCCGTCCAGAGGATCAAAACAGACAATGTATTTTCCCTAAAAAACAAAATAATAAAATTAGTGGCAGGATTATTGTGCAGATTTCAAATGTTTTTCTTTAACCTTAATAATTAGCGTCACCAGGCCGATCCCAGGATTTATTACATCTTTTTACAAGTAGCATCTGTCATATAGGCATGATAAGAAAAGGCTTCAAACTCATAATATAAATTCCATTATGCCATTCGTATGTTTTTTTTCCTTCACAGGGCAACACAAAGACGAACCCCTCTGCACACTGATGAAATTTAAAGGCAAAACCTATCCAAAAAGTCCAGCTTAAAGACTGGAATGGGATTCTGGATGAGAACCCAGGGAAACACATGCTAACCCATGTAGAAAGAAAAAGCCCTGGTTGGTATCTAACCCAGGACCTCCCACAGTGCTGACAACTACCACAGCATATATAAACATTTGAAATAATACTCAATACTGCATCAGTGATTTAAATAACATAGATATTATGTTTATATTTTTGTTCTGAACATTGTTTAGCGGTTAAGATGTGGTGATTTTACTCAAGGTTAACATCCAATAAGCTCGCTCTGCTCCTGTCTCACCTGTTGCTCCGAATCCACAACGATAACCTTTTCGTTCTCTTCAGACACCAAAACGCAGGAAGTAAAAGATGATTTCAACATGTTAATAACCAGGTCATTGGATAAGATGTCCAGCTTCTTCACCTGATCACCCGTCACGTTGGTGTTGCCTGCTATGCCATAACTGAGAATTACAACAAAGAAACAAAAAATGTTACTTAAATATATAGTCATTTCAAATATTTTACTGCAACTTAGAAAGTTTTTTTTTTTTATTCCATATAACATGTAGTGCTGGTCTAACCAGGGCATTGGCCAAATAAGACACTGCTTAAGGCCCCAGGGCAAAGTGGGGGCTCTCAGTATCTCAAAGAGAAATTGCTTGTTTTGTTTTCTCATGCTTGTATAATGATGTATATATCATTATAGTAATAAAAGCACAACTTGATGACATTATTATATCTTGAATCATGCAGAGATCATTACTCACACATGAAAATATATTGGTTTCCATTATCTTAGAACATGCTTGATATTCTATTTTGTATCTTGTCTGTTTTTATACAATTAAATTGATAGTTTTTATTATCAAAGCTTTTTTATTTGTTTTTTATTGTATTATAGGTTATTTTTGTTCATTATTGTTTGCAGTTGTAACCAAACTGTAAATAAATTGCATACTAGTTTTTGTGTAGCATACAAATAATACTGTTAAGAGCACTAACAGGGCTGCAATGAGTTTCTAATAGTTTTGTAACTGATCTGATCATTTTACTGTTGTTGGTAAAAATAAGGGGCTCCAGAATTGAATTGTGCTCAGGGGCCCAATGGAGGCTTGAGTTGGCCCTGATGTAGTAAACAGATAAGGGTTTGGCTGCAGGAAAAAAAAAAATGCAACTGATGCATGACGCTGCATTTCAAGCTCGTGATTGAGTAAAAAAAATGCAGCAACAACTGCAATGGTTTGAGATTTTGCAAAGGGTCATACGGCTGTGAAATCATACAGATGAAAGGAAACTTTCTAAAAAAAAAAAAAAAAAACTTTAGAGTGTTTTGGGGGGTTATCAGGTATGCGCTTCCTGATTGGTGCGCAAAAAAACCTGAACATCCTGCTCAGCATGTGCATGGAGATAAAATGTTGATATTTATGTATCAAACAAGAGGATACAACAGCTTAAAAATGTTATTTTCCCCTCAATGATGGTTGATAACTCACAGATGGGCGATCCCAGCTTTGCGCACAGCGCTGGAGATGGCCTTCACCGCCGTGCACAGTGAGTTCAGCAGCGTGGTCATCTCTCCCGTACCCTTCGCCTTCCTGCCCTCCTGCATCACGAAGCGGGTCATGGTGACCACGTTGGTGTCGAAGGTTCCCTGGTCAGACATGATGCCACAATATCCTTCTGTTGTCTGGGAGTAGAAGTTGGAGGAAACGCGGCAGGATTAATAAAGGCGCAGCGAGGCGGAACTCTGCAGATGAGGGGCCAATCCAGGGCTGCATGAGAGGTGTGGCCCCGGTGGAAACACAAGCCTGCATTGTGCAAATGTTTTGGAAGTAAAGAATGAACCAATAATACTATCTATGCAAGGCTGTGACTACAATAATAGAAACTGATCAAGTTCTTTGGCAAGAAACTTTTCGCAAGACAAGTTGTGCAGCAGGTTTATCTAAAACACATGCATGGAAATGGTTTTCCCCTCAAATGTCTGCTTTTCTGTCACTCATGCATGAGACATATCCAACAAAATGCAAAATCAGCCATGAAAAATCGAAGTAAATATAAAATGTAGGTTTTAAATGATGATTTCATATAGAATATATAATAGGATCCAAACAACCTGTCATTTAACCAGAAACTACTACATGCTGCAAAACGTTTGCCTTAAATGTCAATAAGTCTTGGGTTAAAAGACTTTCAACCCATTCCTATTTGCAAAACTGTTTTAGTTCATCCACACAAAGGGATCTTTGACTGTGATTGCCCACTTGATCTTAAGCCTAGACCATGAATATGCAATAACATAACCTTTGTTCAGTCATTTGTTTTGCAAACCCCTTGTTGATTGGCTTTGGACCATTGTTCAGGTATTGAAGCAAGAACGTGGTCCCCCACCATCACACCCACACCACTGTGTTTTATTGTTAGTGTGACGTTCTGTTTCCATTATGTTGTGTGTGTTACCCCAGATGTAACAGGAAAGTCACTGTTGGAAAAGTTTTCAATTTGTACTAATGTAACATAGGATTATGTTGTTTTTTTTGTCAGCACAACTACAAAGGGGCTCTACTGTTAAATCAGTAGATTGTTCAACCAAGGCAAGACAGACACATTCTAAACTCTATGCAGTACCCAGGAGTTTTGAATCCAAAGGGTTTCAACATCTGCAAAATGAAGAAATAAAACCATTAAGTAATGGGTCATCTTTGGGTTTTTCTGTTTAGCTGTGGTGCCACCCTGGAGGAAGGTAACTGGGCTAATGCAATCAACAACTTTAACCATAGATGATAAAGTTGGGCCTTTTTGTTTGTTTGTTTGTTTGTTTTTAATTTACTGTTTCTCTCCCAGAGAAAGGCTCCATCTCAACACCTTAAATTGTAGCTCATAACACCTGTTCCTAGCTGCTATTCTTTCTCCTTTAATCAGGTAAACATTAAGAACCCTATCCAGAGTAGAAAAGGCGCTCCAGAGTGCTGTGTTGAATCCAGATAGCATTAAACCTTGTAGAGTTCAAGCAGACAAGTATGTGGATGATACTGGTCAAAAGTTAGCTATAGCCTTCAGGAAAATAACTGCGGAAAAGAAAAGTTACACAGATGTGGCTAAAAGATTAAACTCTCTAGTAATAAACCCAAAACATATGCAGGTGTGTACGTTAGCCTGTTTTACACCAAGTACATGTGAATAAAAGATTTGGCACAGGGTGGCTGTGCCTATATGATCTGTTATGCAAAGAATTGTGGGGAAACATATAGCTCCTAGTGGCTATGGACATTATGTGGTCACTTTGCGATCTGCATTGGTACTAAAATGTAAAGCACAATTTATGTAAAGCACTTTGAAATGTCTTTGTACTGAATTGTGCTATATGAATAAACGTTCTTTGCCTTGCCTTGCCTTGCCTTATGTTGCCTTGCCTAGAGACCATCCTGCTTCCTGACCCTACCTCTTTCCTAACTGCCAGCACCATTGGGACACCCCTATTATGTGAACCGTGGAGGCACTTCCGCTTTTGCTTAAGTGCACTTACCGATTTGAGGTATTCAGACTGAGCCATAGCTACAGTATAGGTTCAGCTATTACTGTGACTGACTGTATCTGCTCTCTATCATCCTTTTGACATGAAAACTGCCATAGACCTGGAGCTGGTTTATCACAATCTTCTCTAGAACTGAAATTATTTATGGATCAGAGCTTCTATGTTCCTCTTGTATGTCTGTTTCTGTCTCCTTCAACCCAAGTCGGCCTCTGTTTAAGGCCGCTCACACGGAGTCTGGTTCTACTGGAGATTTCTGTCTGTTAAAAGGGAGTTTTTCCCTCTCCTCTGATGCTGCATCCATGCATGCTGCTTAGTGTAAGGGAGTATTGCAAAGTCACCAACACAACGCGGCTGACTGTCCACCATCACTACATGCTCATTGAGGAGGAACAAATTCCACAAAGTCGATGACTTGATGCAATCAGCTGCTTTTCCTTAGAAAGAAAACATTTAACCAATCTGTCTGTATGATTTGATTGAATTGAATCTGTAAAGTGCCCTAAGAGGAGCTACCTCCACTTTCTTGATTGATATTGAGTTTTTAAATCCAGATAGTTTAATCTCTTTATTCAAACTGGGTTTACACCACATAAAAACAAAAGGAACCAGTTTAGCTTGAACTACAAGAAAGGTTGTTGTCAGCACAACCAGATGTTGTGATTACTAACCCAGCAGATGGATCACTGCTTCTGCTTTTGGTGTTTCTTTTTTAAGATTTCACTTAGTTTTTAATTTACATTTAGTAATAGACATATTGCAAATCTGAGTAAAATGCTTAAAACCTACTAAAGTGAAATTCAGCTTTGGCAAACTGCTAGAAAAAAGTTCAAAGTACAGACAAATTGTATTCAGTTATAGTTACATGAGTAAATGTAACTAATTACTTTTCTCTCCTGGTGCTTTGTAACAAAAAGGTTTGCAATTCCCCCAAACTAATGGAAGAACTTTAGAGTACATATATTTAAACCATAGATAAGGGGTATCAATCCAAAAGTGGAGAAAGAATGGCAGAAAATATGAGATGGAAGAAGATCAAGAAAAAATTTTACATCAAAAAGACAGCAGGAAAAGGAACAAAAAGGAGGAAAGCTTAATAGAACAGAGTTCTCTTCCCCAAAAAGAAGGTTTCACTTTAGCAGATCATTATCAGATAATACAGTAAGAAATTTAAAATAATCTTTTCCACTTTTATCTATTCTAAACAATACTGCTAAGGGCAACCATTTAATATATTCCCCTTCACAAATGTAAGATTATGTTGATGTGGTCACTAGCTCGCTGTGTGCTGCGTTAGGCAATGTAGCGCCTTGAAAAAGATTTCATTTAACTAAGGAAGGAAACTAATTCAGAAGTGCATACTTTTGGCGCACTATGTGCCTACTGGAAAAAGTTTAATACTGTATAAAAAAAAAACTTTTTTAAACAAGAGCAGCATATTTTACTTTATTGATAGAGAAGAATAGGAATAATCCTAGATTTCTTTTCGATGTGTGGGATTCTATGTGGGATTCTCAAATAAGATATATTCCATTAAAAATAAAGGCCATTGGCACCATCTAAATATGATTGGTTCATTTCCAGAAGGTGAAGCAATATCTGAGGTAACTATTAAATCTGAACCACGTTTAAACTGTTACGATCCAGTTGAATTTTTAGAGTTAGCAAAACTTTTATCTTTATCTAAGTCTTTAACTTGTATGCTAGACCCAGCTCAGATCAACTTATTTAAGGAATTATTCCCTCTGATTTCCACCTCCATCTGTCTGTTAGAGGAAGATGTACCTCAGGCTTTTAGTAGCTGTTATGAAACTTTTACTTAAGACACTGTCTCTTGACCCAGATGACTGGGTCAATTATAGACCTATATCCAATCTTCCTTTCTTATCGAAAAATTCTTGAGAAAGTAGTTGCCAAACAAGTGTGCGATCACTTACACCATGATGAACATTTTGAAGTGTTTCAGTCTGGCTTTAGAGCTCATCATAGCACTGAAACAGCTCTGGTGAAAGTCACTAATGATATTTTCATGGCCTCAGATAATGGACTTTTATCTGTACTTGTCCTGTTAGATCTCAGTGCTGCATTTGATACAGTTGATTATAATATCCTTTTAGAAAGATTTTAACATTTTATTTTATCAAGGAACCAGAACACGGCTTGTTTAAATCTTATTCATCTGTCGGATTTCAGTTTGTTTATTTTAATGATACAGTAGCAGCCATTCAAAATGACCGTATCTCTATAGCTATGCTGCTAAAGGCTTAGGCTGCATGAGGAAATACTTACCTCTTCTCATCATTCTGCTAAATTCTATCCCTATTCTCCCATTTTGTAATGTTTGTTTTTCTCATCATAGTAGCTTCCTCTGGTCTGTTCCTGTTTGGCTGTGAGGCCATCCCAGAGAGAAATATCAGCTGTGCTGCTGCACCTTTGTTTGTAGATGATGGCGCTTGGCCTGTTTTTCAGTGTAGTCCTGTTTCTGTGTAGTCCTGGTCGGGGCAATCTGAAGAGCTGATTGACAGTTGCCTTTTGTATCTCTGCCTCTGTCTCCTTGAACCCCAGTTGGTCTCTGCAGATGGCCGCTCACACTGAGCCTGGTTATGCAGGAGGTTGTTTCCTGTTAAAAGGGAGTTTTCCTCTCCAATGTCATTGCAAGCATGCTTAGTGTGAGGGATTTCCTTCAAGTCAATGAGTCGATGCAATGAGCTGGTTTTCCTTAGATAGGAAACATTGAATCAATCTGACTGTATGATCTGGTTGAATTGTCTCTGTAAAGTGACTTAAGTTGACATTTGTTGTGAATTGCCACATTATAAATGAACTGAATTAAATTAAGATATATATCGTAAAATGGTTAAGGGCTTTACCAAGTCCAATGACTCAAAAGAGCTTCATCCAATGATCTGTCATTCAACCATTTATAAACACATTCAGACACATATAGAAGTTGTGTTTTAAATGTTCTTTTATTTTTAAGACATTAATTACAAAATACAAGAATGGTATCTGCTTTGTGCAGAACATACTTAAATATATTTTAGAAGCCCAAATTGCAATTGTGGCTGAGGAACAAACTCATTGTTGTCGTCTGTGGACCCTGAGACAGGTTGATTTCTACCTGATTTTTTAAGATGAATTAGATGTATAACTTCTTTAAGCGGAAAATATTATTCAGCAAATTGAGTCATCTAGCACTCTTTCTGCATGGAGTT